GTTAACAGTTACGGAGTTATCTTCTCTTGTCACCACGTCTGTTAACAGTTACAGAGTTAACTACTCTTGTCACTACGCGTGTTAACAGTTACGGAGTTAACTACTCTTGTCGCCACGTGTGTTAACAGTTACGGAGGTATCTACTCTTGTCACTACGTGTGTTGACAGTTACGGAGGTATCTACTCTTGTCACAACGTGTGTTAACAGTTACGGAGTTAACTCGTCTTGTCGCCACGTGTGTTAACAGTTAAGGAGTTATCTGCTCTTGTCACTACGTGTGTTAACGGTTACGGAGTTATCTACTCTTGTCACTACGTGTGTTAACAGTTACGGAGTTATCTACTCTTGTCACTACGTGTGTTAACAGTTACGGGCTTAACTACTCTTGTCACTACGTGTGTTAACAGTTACGGAGTTATCTACTCTTGTCACTACGTGTGTTAACAGTTACGGAGTTATCTACTCTTGTCACTACGTGTGTTAACAGTTACGGAGTTAACTCGTCTTGTCGCCACGTGTGTTAACAGTTACGGAGTTATCTACTCTTGTCACTACGTGTGTTAACGGTTACGGAGTTATCTACTCTTGTCACTACGTGTGTTAACAGTTACGGAGTTGTCTGCTCTTGTCACTACGTGTGTTGACAGTTACGGAGTTAACTACTCTTGTCACTACGTGTATTGACAGTTACGGAGTTAACTACCTTGTCACTACGTGTGTTTACAGTTACGGAGTTATCTGCTCTTGTCACTACCACAGGCCCTCGTGTCCTTGCGAAGATTAACGATTAAAAGAATATTTTGGGGGGATGACCCCCGACTCGAAATGCTACACACTACAATACATTGTGACAAGGCCGGACACTTCGGTATACCCCCATCCGCTTGCTTTGCCGATCGATACGCTACCATCGCATGTAATCGATTAAAACTTAATGTAAACATAATCATGGATGATTGGTCTATCGAGCACAAATCAGGAAACCTACCAATTCTTTGTTGTCATTTCTGTAAGTCGATTGAAACCCGATTTTGACTCTTAACTAAACGATCATGACACAAATGGATGACGATATCTCCGCACAAAACGGGGGTGTGATCGAAGCAAGCCCTCTGATTGGTCAACGCTTGCAAATCTGCAATTCTTTATAAGTTCGCGGGACTATTTTCTTTCATCGACTGCTTAATGTAAGAATATTTTTCGAGCAATGGCTTCTCAAAAGAAAGCATCAGTTGTAAATGTCTCCTAAACAAGGATCACCCAACCACAGGGCTTGCTTTGACCACACCCCTGTTTTGTGCGGACACATAGTCATCCATTTGTGTCAAGATCGTTTAGTTGGTGGTCAAAATCGGGTTTCAATCGACTTGCAGAAATAACAATAAAGAATTGGTAGGTGTCATGAGTGGTGCTCGATAGGCAAATCATCCATGATTATGTCTATATTAGGTTTTAATCGATTGCATGCAAAGGTAGCGTAGCGATCAGCAAAGCAGGCGGGTAGGGTACACCGATGTGTCCCGCCTTGTCATAATGTATTGCACTGTGAAGCATTTCGAGTCGGGGGTCATCTGAAATGTTATATGTTTTTTTAACATCTTTAATCCTCGCAAAGACACAAGGGCCTGTGTTCACTACGTGTGTTAACAGTTACGGAGTTAACTACTCTTGTCACTACGTGTATCAACGCTTACGGAGTTATCTACTCTTGTCACTACGTGTGTTAACAGTTACGGAGTTAACTACTCTTGTCACTACGTGTGTTGACAGTTACGGGGTTATCTACTCTACCTCGGAAGTCCAACATTTGTCAGCATGAATGCCATAGGCAGGAGTCTTACACTAAACGTGTGTGAACATTCATGACCATTTCCTCAGTGGTTGTTGTATGAGACTTTACGGTTGTGTTTTATAGGCTGTGAAATACTTCAAAGCTCCCTACCACAGAACATGCGACATATAAAGGGGCCGTGCAGTACACAAGACAAACGTCGTGTGCGTGTTCGAAGGTCATTTGCACTCATAATCATGGCCTAACTTGCCCATACAAATGGACACCCAACAATAACCGAGGAATAACAACACAACGTCACATATTTCAAGAAAGCCGCCAGTATATGCCAAACGTAGCCAATAGTTAAAGTATGCATATTTTTACAACGCCCTACACATGAATCACAATGCTGGCCTACAATAATTACAGTTTATATGAAATGGTATTGCATGAACTATCCATGTGTGTGAAAAACGTTTATGACGTATGTGGATTTCTTCCATACTCACTCAATTCTTAATTGTGTACTCGAGCTTCTGAGACACTCTTTTCTCCTTCAGTGCTTTGAGTATAGGTGACAACAGGCATAGTGGAAGTATGGGTCTGGCATCAGCTCAACGAAAAATATTTTGGGGCATCTTTTGTGTGATATCTGGATAATGTTCAACGTCAGGGATTTTGTGAAACAGATCCGTTTGACGTTTGATTATTCACCAATTCAACCACTGCTACTGACCATGGCGTCCTAATAATGGCTACCGATTAGGTATAAATGAGGTAAAGGTATTATAGCTTTATCATTACTTTAAAGTGATATACTGTCTGTTGTAGGTTTATTGATTGTGAAAGAGTTAATCAATGGTTAATATTACTGTTGCTTGTGGACAATTACAACCCGTTTTTATGCTTACATAGTTATTGATCGGACATCAATTGTGAAGGAGTGTTGATTTATCCGCTATCGTATTACTGCTGAGAAGTTGATTTGTTAACGCAAACCGGGAAGCATGGCAATAGTACTACTGCTGGAGTCAGGAAACTAATACTTACATATTATTGCAAATGAGGTGAGGTGAGTTGAGGTGAAATTGGGTTTAACGTCGTACTAGAGATTATTTCGCTCATATGACGACGTGCATGCGTGTGTATGTGTATGTGCGGCTGCTTGTACTAGTCCAGACTGAAGCTGGTTTTATAGTGCTAGCCCACTGAGATACCATGCCGCAGTGAAGTTTCTTGTTCTGGCAGGACATTTTCACGTGTCTTTATCCAAACAAACATAAGTTAACCCAGACATCAGTACCCAACTTAATGGTGTCATGACTGTGGCAATGTTATTCCTTAAGTAACAATGTTGTAATACACTGTATATTTGGTGTGCTATATTTAGGCCAAGTTTTAGAAGGTGCTGCAACCCCATGGGCCTTTCCATTATATTCTGATCCAGTAAGTTGGAGAATTTCCTGGCATCTGTTTCGTAGGTATATAAGAGTAGCTAATTCTTGAATCGCATCTCATATTACAAGAGTGAATTTAATTTTATGCCGCTTTTGTGCAATATTCCCGCGATGTCGTGGCGGGGGACACCAACAATGGGCTCCACACATTGTGCACATGTGGGAAGTCGAATCCGGGTCTTTGGCGTGACGAGCGAACGTTTTAACCACTGGGTTACTTCAATATTACAACTAAAATTAAAAGAAGACCCCGGAGAGCGGAAGGTCGCGGGTTGAATCCCCGACCGCGACATACCAAAATACGTTAAAATATGGTACTTGTTGGTCCCTGCCTGGCGCTCGGCATTAATGGGTACAACAAGGACGGGTCGGCTCGGAGTCAGTATAATGTGTCTGAGTGGCATATTCATGCTTCACTGCGGCTTGGTATCTCAGTGGGCTAGCACTATAAAACCAGCTTTAGTCTGGGCTAGTACAAGCAGCCGCACATACACATACACACGCATGCACGTCGTCATATGAGCGCAATATTCTCTAGTACGACGTTAAACCCAATTTCACCTCACCTCACAAGAAGACCAGCAATTGTGTGGAGATTTTCTTAACCTGGATACTCAGCCTATTTTGGAAACTTGACCTTTGCTGCAATGGGGTGAATACTACCACCACTGTCTTTATTGCTCTAATATCTGCTTATATACTATACTGTCTTTGAATTTGTACTGCCACTGTAATACCTTTGTAGTGATTTATATTAAGCTGAAAGCATCGTTCATTTTAGAATAAATGGTTAGTTATATCATATTGCTCTGTTGTGTGTTGTTTTCACTCCGAGGACTTGTACAGACTGATTTCCGGTTGCTGAAATGTCAGCTTCACGTACTTCTTCATGTTATGGAATAAAGGAATACATGATTGTCAAATTTAATTCATTTTAGTGTAGACCTTTAAATAATAAATAAAACCAAAAAAAGTATGGTTTGTATTAAATTCAGTGCTTTTTTCTTACAATGTGCAATTGCCATCATAACATCAACATTGATTCCAATACATTCTGACGGGTTTTTTTATGAGTCAAAGGATCATACGGATCAGAAAAACTCATGTTCTTTCATCGTGGTCACCACGAGATTTTAAATGTACGTGTTGATGTACGTGTATCATTGCAAAGATACAGGGGGTGCTTAATTAAATTCTCTGTGTATAGTTATTCACCGGGGATGCATTTGATACGAGTATCGTGGTAGTGTTTTCATGTTTTAAGCCGAGTGATGTTTATATAACGTATGCATTATGGGAGAGAGGTTTCCAGTACTCCATATTTGGCGAGAATAAATACAATAAGCTGTATGCAGGATGTAAACAGTCTGATAATGTGTCATCGTTTACGACATCAGGGACCGTCGCTTATGCTGTCAACCACTAGTGTGGTCGAGACCCGATGAATTACAGACCCTCGTTACACAGCTGCAATAGTGTTGACTGCAGAGTGCACAAAACGTTCACTCCCCACCCATTCCTTATATACGTATACAGCTGTACTGCTATTTGTGTACATGAAATAATACACATTTGCTCAACTCAACCATGCAGTCATTGTTTATTCTCAACAAGAGAGATACATCAAAGGGCTTGTGTCATTTTTGTTACACATTTATAACCTATAAATTAGGATTACAATACAAGACAACGTAGTACAGAAATAGACCCGATCTTTATTACAGGTTTCCTTATCAGATAATTCCGGTCAAAAGCTTATCAATAAATATTTCACCTTGTTCTATGTAGGAGACACACGGTATACAAGGAAACTAACAGTATGTTGTGGAAGATAGTTTGTTTAGTTGTGCTTTTTGCTGTGTACACTTCGTAAGTACCACTTTAGTTTAACGTATGCTATATTTATCCAGCATTATGTCCATATGTGTGCTGTTCGTAAGAAGCACTATATGTACAGCTTTGGTAGCCTGTATGTACTCAGGCTACCATCTATAGCTTCATGTACGTGTTGTTCGTAAGAAGCACTATATGTACAGCTTTGGTAGCCTGTATGTACTCAGGCTACCATCTATAGCTTCATGTACGTGTTGTTCGTAAGAAGCACTATATGTACAGCTTTGGTAGCCTGTATGTACTCAGGCTACCATCTTTAGCTTCATGTACGTGTTGTTCGTTGGAAGTCAGAAGACTGACTGAGAATGGTTTTACTCCGCTTTTAGCAATATTCCAGCAACATCACGGCGGGGGACACCAGAAATGGGCTTCACACATTGTACCCATGTGGGGATTCGAACCCGGGTTTTTGGCGTGACGAGCCAACGCTTTAACCACTAGGCTACCCCACCGCCCCGGAAGTCAGAAGACGTTCTTATATTTCAATGGTCATGTGTACAATGTAGACTCCATTACGTATACGCACATTTGACTACTGTAATTTCCCAACTACTTGTCACCTTGTTTTATAATTCTCCACTCATTTCAGTCAGCTGGAAGAACCCCATGACGAACTGTTCCGCTTCTATGACAAAAACAATGACACCAGGCTCACCAACTCAGAATGTCGGAACTTCTGGCTGCATTTCGACGGCGATGGTCGGTGAACCGCTGCAAGAAACATTTCTTTTGATTTAAAATGTCAAATATTTGTGTCGCATTCCTAAGATATCATACAATCCCACAATCATGGCAATGCCACGTCTATATCAATACCCTTATAGAAATTATAGTCTCTATCGATTTAATGTTAAAAACGTGTGAGTGAGTGAGTGAGTGTGTTTTAACGCCGCTTTGAGAATGTTTTATCTATATCATGGTGTGTCAGTTAAAGATTAAAGTGATGAAGGTGTTGGAAGTTTGCCACTTTGGTGCCACATCATTAGGTTGGGTTGGGCTGGGTTGTTGTTTTACGCCGCACTCAGCAATATTCCAGCTATATGGCGGCGGTCTGTAAATAATCGAGTCTGGAACAGACAATCCAGTCATCAACAGCATGAGCATCGATCTGCGCAACTGGGATACGATGACATGTGTCAACACAGTCAACGAGCCTGACCATCCGATCCCGTTAGTCTCCTCTTACGACAAGCATGGGCTGCTGTAAACCAATTCTAACCCAGATTTTCACGAGTAAAACATCATTAAGATAAATAGATATCTCGTAAACCAAATGGTACTGTTTTAAGAACTCTGCCATCAATTTTGGCTGTTTCTTTTTGGTTTCAAGTGTATATAGAATACAATACGTATAGACAGGCACACACATTTTTCATAAGCACATATGGAAATATATGTCCAAATATGTGTTCGATAGTGGACATACATGTATGTATCTCGTGAATCGTAATGAGCTCATTATTTTCTTCAATTTAGGAGACCACGTGATCAGTAAACTTGAGTTCGAGTTAAAATGGACGTTCCTGAATTTGCGTTTTGCACACCAAACTCCCCTGTTCTTCCGCCACCTTGACAACAACGTCGACAGCCAGATTGACTCAAGCGAGCTCACCAGCTTCTGTAACTACTTCGACGACGACGGTAGGTCTGATTCTGCAATTTGTTCCATGAACATGAAATTCCTGTCTAACATAGTGTAAGTTTGCTGAAAGAAAGCACCATGAACATGGTGGGACCCTGCCCGGCATTTAGCATGGAAGGGATAGAAGGATTGGTTGGCTCGGAGTGTTGTAGCATGGTATCTCACGCACGCACCACGCCCACACGCACGCACGCACATGAGTGCGATTCGATGTCAAACCCCTTTCCTACCTCACCTCGACTAGACCACTAGAAATACAGACCGTGCTGGGTGTTTTAAATGTGTCTCTTAAAGGTTGTATAATTTAACACAGGAAAATGTGTTTCCCTTTTTCATGTATCGATCACTAAAAAAGAGAAATTTAAATTTCGTATATATTCTTCGTAACAGAATTCGGTAAGAATCTTTCTTCATATAACAAGAACAAAACGGCAACACCTCGGCCAAAGGATATGTCAATATTCATTGCGTTTGTGTGACGTATTCGATAAATTGTAATTGGTTGCTCGAAGACACTGATGTAGCGTGTGTTTAAGTATGAATGCAACCTGGCATGTAGATGAATATTTTCTGTTGACTACTTTGTAAACAGACAGCAAAATATGAAAATCCGCTCTTCCTCCTCAAACATAGTATCATTTATCATTTATTCTAACTGACCTGCAACACACTATGCTATAAACATGTTTGCATATTAATTCGTATAAAATCCCTGATGGCATTACTCCCAGGATAGTGCAGTAGCTTACGTCCGATACACAGTATTGCAACCTGGTCGTCAGCAAACCAGGCTTGACGTATGAGACGATCAAGGTGTCAGCTTGTCAGGCATGACGATTTGGTTGATCAGCGTGTCATGCTTGATGTAGCTAAGATCGATGGGGTCATTATGTCAGTTGACGTAGGATTGTCGTGTCCTTGCGATTATTTAGTCGACACCGAGGTCCATACACTTGCTGAGTGCGTGTCATGGTAAACAAAGAAACAATGTCAGTTACTGGATTTGTGTACGATTATTTGCGACACCGCCATACACTCGCGTTCGTCACCTTCATTTGGGTATTACATTGATTCAGATTGACGTTTGTCCTGAAATAGATAAATATAATAACTTTAACATATTAAATATAATAACATTAACGTATTAAGCCTTTTAACATCGCCTTAAGTACAGCATGGTTTGGATGCCTGAAAACAGTATAAGAATCTATACCGAAACGTCGCTATTGTGAATATAAAGAAGTTGGTCATCCATTTAGTTTTGTCATCTCTATACCACCAACTTCTAGAATGCCTCTCAAACAAATAGTTTTAATGAATCAGGTAGGGTTTAACGCCGCCTTTAACAGTGTTCTAGGTGTATCACCCACTACAAGCTCAACGTGAAAGCCAACCCCATAAGTGATACAGGTGACAGATTCAGTCTAACTACGGTCACAGGTATCTTGTGCGCATAACAGAAGCAGCTCTGTGTAGCCACGGACGTCCCCTAATACCTCATGCTATCTCCGGTACATGGTTTATAATAAACTCTAGGAAACATCGGTCTGTTAACGTATTATCGTATAACTACAAGAACTTATGCATTCTTCTTTTCACAGATGATGGCCATATCTCTAAGACAGAATTCGACATGAACTGGACGGGACTTTTCACCTTCCCATGTAGTCACTAACTGTCTTGCATATGATGTGTTCAAATATAACACCTGGCTCGTTGAGCATTTGTTGGTGATACATAGTTCTTTCCGTGCAGTGCCATGGACATTGGTGTCCCAGTCGTCCAATGACGTGTGAAGAGACGCATTCCTTAGATAACCAGGATCCGCTGATCTTGGGTTCCTACCTGGGCCTCTTTGCATGCTTCTTAATATGAAGATCCATCTTGAAAGCCTCTTTATTGCAATACCAGCCTTTACGTGGAGTGGCTGACTCACGCTTATAATGAATGACTACTTTTTCTCACAGTTTGGTTTTACGCCGCAAACAATATTTTAGCAACATCACGGCGGGGGGTACCAGAAATGGGCTTCACACAATGTACCCATGTGGGGATTCGAACCCGGGTCTTCGGCGTGACGAGCCAACGCTTTAACCACTAGGCTACCCCACCGCCCCGCTTATAATGAATAGCTACTTCATTCTCACAGCTTTTCAGCTTTGCATTGCATTACCGATCCTTTTTGTTCGATGTTTAAAAACAGTTCTGTTTAGACGTATTAAAAACCTGTTCATGACGGGTTACGACTATGGTGCCCTAAACCAATCAATGTGTTTTAACGAAGACTGACAATGGTCCAAGACTCGGTGCGAAATTCCGATATGGCCAAGACGGTTTTTCTTATGACTATTTCAAAATTGAATTTGACTCAATTTGTGAACGTAATACTGGTGTGAGTGATCTTAGGCGGTTGGAAACATGACGACAAATCCCTTTCCATATTCAGAAGTCTCATGGTATTGTACGATTCTAAACGTATCATCAGCATGTATTTATGAATTACAACCAGGTCTTCGGGAAACGTTGAGCCCTGACTGGATCCGATACACACAGAAACGCCATCTGCATTGATCAAAAGCCGACACGAAGCAAACCTTTATTTAAAAGACATAAGAATTTCGTGATTTTATGTACTCTTCATGCACATGTAGGTGGTGTCTTAAAGCCCATGTTCGATTCCCATATACTAACAACTATTCTTTGAAATGAACATATTTTACAGATAACACAGTTCATAATAAAACACATCCGAGGTTGAAATATGTTCCCTGATACAAGCCAGAGAATTCCCTGAAGTCATCTTCCTGTTGTAGACACTGTTCAACAATCGTTGTGCCATTAATAATAGTATTTGGAGACTGATTCTTGGTATGACAGGTAAATGTTAAATATTTCGTTTTTCACAGAAAATATACACAGAAAAAAAAAATTTTTTATATCAAAATTTTGTGAGTTAGAATTTAGGAACCACAAACTTTGTTTGTGATTGCAACTTAATGCCCCTTTATACTTTTGACATATCGTGGCTTTTCCGCGTATTGAGATTGGCTAACATCTGGTTTGGGTTGAGTTTTCACATGTTAATACCAGAACTGTTAATATCCACTATTGTTTGCATTTAGCTTTGGAAATGGAAGTAGTAATTTAAGAAAAAGTGTCACGATAGTATCACAAGTTGCAATTTAAGCATCCATGTTGCACTCCTGTGCCATCTATAGATTTGCCTTACCACCCGATCCCGTTAGTCGCCTCTTAAGAGAAGCAAAGGTTACTGAAGACCATTATTCACCAGATTATTCACGTGTATGTAAGGTAAGAGAATTATATGCCAGGGAAGTCGAGTAAATGAAAGTTACAACATTCAAGGCCTCAGTAAAGCATTGAAAACGACCCGTGAAGACCCGGGTTAGAATTGGTCTTCAGTAACCCATGCTTGTCATAAAAGGCAACTAACGGCATCGGGTGGCCAGGCTCGCTGACTTGGTTGACACATGTCATCGTATCCCTATTGCGTAGATCGATGCTCATGATGTTGATCACTGGATCGTCGGGTCCAGACTCGATTATTTACAGACCGCCGGCATATAACTGGAATATTGCTGAGTGCGGCGTTAAACAAAAAACCAACCAAACAACAACTGAAAACGGTTCATGGTAGAGGATATTTCCAAATTCGGTGCATCAGTGACAATATTGATGTCCGATACAATTCCTTATTTTGATCTGTAATATGTTGTCTTAATTACCCCATATTCTCTTAAGTATTTATGGAATCATTTTTCACATATAGTTTTTATCTTGTCAAAGTTTATGACTACCTGTATATTCAGGTTACGGTTAATCGCTGAATGTCCCGGAAAGCAAGACAGTCTGGTGTGTAATACAAAAGAGGGGTTAAAGCGAGCAATGCGAACGATTCTGTGATCGAAGTCCCCGCAGACATGTACACTGAATTGCTTCACTTATTCGTGCCAGGATAATGTTTGCGAATACCGAAATGTGAATTATCAATTTAGCGTGTATTGTTTAAACGGTTGTTACATGATTCACTTCAGGGTGTCTACCGACATTATGTCTGGAAATTATGTAACGTAAATATTAGACAAAGGGGGACCAATAGCTCTGCAATCAACGCTGTTTAGCAGGGATTTTACTGAAGCTTCACATGGTAATACGCAATCATGTCTTCTTGTTGCTTGTCAAAGATGACGTTTGTATGAAATGTAGGTGTTTATGTATGTCGTATTCTCTACGCTAGGAAGACATGAATGTTGTATTCGGTATGAACTGTAGGTGTTTATGTATGTCGTATTCTCTACGCTAGGAAGACATGAATGTTGTATTCGGTATGAACTGTAGGTGAAAATGTATGTCGTATTCGGTATGCAAGGAAGACATGAATGTTGTATTCGGTATGAACTGTAGGTGTGTATGTATGTCGTATTCTCTACGCTAGGAAGACATGAATGTTGTATTCGGTATGAACTGTAGGTGTTTATGTATGTCGTATTCGGTATGCAAGGAAGACATGAATGTTGTATTCGGTATGAGCTGTAGGCGTGTATGTATGTTGTATTCTCTATGCAAGGACAACATGAATGTTGTATTCGGTATGAACTGTAGGTGAAAATGTATGTCGTATTTGGTATGCAAGGAAGACATGAATGTTGTATTCGGTATGAGCTGTAGGCGTGTATGTATGTTGTATTCGGTATGCAAGGACAACATGAATGTTGTATTCGGTATGAACTGTAGGTGTGTATGTATGTCGTATTCGGTATGCAAGGAAGACATATGCAAGGATTCGGTATGCAAGAACATGAACTGTAGGCGTGTATGTTGTCGTATTCGGTTGCAAGGTATGAACTGTATTCGGTATGAACTGTAGGTGTATGTATGTAGTATTCGGTATGCAAGGACAACATGAATGTTGTATTCGGTATGAACTGTAGGTGTGTATGTATGTCGTATTCGGTATGCAAGGAAGACATGAATGTTGTTTTCGGTATGAACTGTAGATGTGTATGTATGTTGTATTTGGTATGCAAGAAAGAGATTAATGTTGTATTCTGTATTAAGTGTAGGTGTATATGTACGTCGTATTCGGTATGCAAGGAAGACATGAATGTTGTATTCGGTATGAACTGTAGATGTGTATATTATGTTGTATTCTCTATGCAAGGAAAACATAAATGTTGTATTCGGTATGAACTGTAGATGTGTATGTATGTTGTATTCTCTATGCAAGGAAGAGATTAATGTTGTATTCGGTATGAACTGTAGGTGTATATGTACGTCGTTTTCGGTATGCAAGGAAGACATGAATTTGCAGACATTTGTGTTTGCTTTTTTTAGGGCCACATTCGGGAATAGTGTAGCTACATGTCAGCGACCTGTATCTCCTCCAGGAAGTCTTCCAGAAAGTCCAAGGATTGATGTCATGAACATAGATCGCCAATGGGATACGATGGCATGCATCAACCACGTCAGGGATCCTATCCTGGCAACCCGGTGCTGTACGTCGCCCTCACGACAACCATGTATTTCTGATGGCCTGTTCCGAAGCGATATCCATTAACCTATGACTGCATACATGGTGATATATGACCGCATTGTGCACTGGATAAATCACAGATAAGTTAAAGGCTATTTAAACGCGCTTGCCTTGCACACAGTCGTATCCAAATACATTTACATTCCATTTCCGTGTGGGAAAGAAGGTGCAGTGGTGCAAAGATAGCGTATATAGATGGAACTGATCGAACATACCAACAGTTGGAGCACCATGTACCAGGAACTGCGTGTGTTATGTCCAATAAGAGGTCAGAATGTTTGGTAATTAGTATTATTTTACAAACGCTTCTACAAACACGTATCACAAAACATAACTGGTTCATCATGAGGAATTCAATGTATTTCTATGAACGAAGTGACCTCATTGGTAATCCAACGACAATACATTTTAGTATAAGCATTTTACGTTTTGATTTATGAATGTACACACTGTTTCAAAGTATTTACCAAGCTATACTGGATTTATCTCCCTTCGATTGAAAAGCAGGCATTGTTGGCAGACTTTCAAGTAAAAGACCAACTGGTAACATACAACAGAATTCTTGCCAGAGAAATATCAGATACCCGACTTTCTACCGAAGCAGATTTCATAGGGCAAAATAGTGATGAAAGATGTCTGTATGGAACACTGAAATCAGCGATGACACCGGGTGTTCTGCTGCGCTGGTAGGTACCACGACTCAGAAACTTTCATGAAACTAGTGCCAGTTAGCATGCAGGTGTCTATCTATATTGAGGTCTCTGCCTAGGCTGCCTCTTGTTGACAAGCCATTTGTATTCAGTTAATTATTCTGGATGTCTGGCATAACATGTCCAGACTGAGCCTTTTAAGGTATATCCCTTAGCATGAGAGGGAAATTCACGAACAGAAAATCGAAATTACTCTGCTAGAGCCGACCCTCAGTTTGAATATTTATGCACATATTCAGATAAGATATAGAATATGGTTCTTGGTTTTGACATGACATTTGTACACACTCCTTCTCCACAGACAATCCAGACTGGCCTTGTGTCCAGGATATTTGCAATCCGCCTTCTCCACAGACAATCCAGCTCTTGTGGACGAAAGAAGTGAAGATCAGTGTGCATTTTCAGCTCCAAGAGAGTATGCACGTGAGGTGCTATAAGGTTAACAGTCATTCTTCCAGC